TTCTCTTTCGCGTAGATCATTGCAAAAGGAGTATCAGTGTGAATCGGGCTGAGTATGGAAAAACAAGTGCTGACAGTAACATGCCATGTTTTTTGAAGCACCTATCCGACATTTTGTGATTGTCTTACCCACAACCGTACACATACTGCATATTTTTCCAACCAGCCGGTTATCCAGTCCATATGATTGCCCATGGACTTGCCCAACCCGTGCAGGCCTCCAGAGGTCACTAGTCTACGAAAGGAATCAGAGTCTGCGGGTGAGTTCTCCACCCCACAGCGAACGTGCAAAGGACACATGTCATCTCAGCTTGAATTGAAAGGTTGCATGGAAAACATGTCCCATACGACTCAACAGAAATGGCAAAATAACAGGCGGCTGCGTTACGGCGGTCGGTTTCTGGTTGCTCCCAATGTGCTACACTCAGGTAATTATATCCTCCGCGTATGAGCTCCCGCAATGCGACTGGTCGTGGGGCTAAGCAATACTTTCGTGGTCGACTAAATCTCGCTTCAAAACTATCAGCGATGTCTTGGATCTCGGTACACATCCTTGTTCGACATACCATGGACGCTTTTGAAGGCTATAACATTCTACGATGTTGTCTCCTATGTCTGTGGTATTGGGAACTTAATTAAATAAACATGATAGTGGTTTCATAAAAAGCATGAAAACAAACACTTCATAGACGTTTTCAGCCTGACGAGTCGACGACAATCGAACTCCCGACGACCGTCTTCAGAAGTTCACGAGTGCAGTGTTCTAACCGTAAGGCCACCACGCCGGCATGACCCGCGTGAACAGCAACAGCGCCCGCCAGGCCGCCCTCATGGCCAACCACAGCACCTGCCCCCCCTCCCCTCACCTTGAGGCCGTCGGCGCTGGCCGAGCACACGAGCCGCAGCAGGGCGCGCAGACAGGCGTGGCGCACGCCAGGGCCGGCGCCGGCGCCGTACACGCGCAGCAGCAGCGGCAGCCAGTCGGCGCGCAGCGTGGCGAGGCGCGGGTCGGCGCGGCGCACCGCCCGAGAGCGCGATGGCAGGTTGGCCAGCTCGGGCCGCGACGGGTCCCGACTGCCGTCTGAGCGTGCCGCCGCCTGCCGGGGAGGGCGGGTCAGGTGGGAAGGAGGCGTTAGCCGGGGAGGGACACGTAAGGCGGGGAGAGACACGTTAGTTAGACAGGGAGAGCTGAGGAGGGACACGTTAGTTGAGGGGGGGGGGGGGGGCAGCTTGGGAGGGACACGTTAGTCAGGGAGGGATACTCCAGCCGGGGAGGGACACGCCAGTCCGGAGGGATACCATAGTTAGGGGGCAGTTGGGGAGGGACACGTCAGCCGGAAAGGGACATGTCAGTCGAGAAGGGACACGTCAGTCGAGGAGGGACACGTCAGCTGGGGAGGGACACGTCAGCCGGGGAAAGACATGTCAGTCGGGAGGAGAGACGTCAGTCACGGAGAAATAGCTGGGGAGGGACACGTTAGCCGGGGGAGGACAACTCAGTCGGTGAGGGACACGTCAGCCAGGAGAGGAGGACGCGCGTCGGCCGGGAGACATCTAGGAGGACGCATCACATGGGGGTGACCCGACGCTGCGCGAGCAGTGGTCTTAACGACCTTTCACGATCGGCGATAGGAGTGAGTATCGAGAGTGTACACTCATGGACAAACAAGGTTGCAGTAATCACCATAAAAGCCCTAAAAATAATCGGAGCGGTTGCAACGCACAAAACTTGCTTACGGAGGGTAAATGAACTTAGCGTAACTGCAATAACACAATTCGGCGGCAGTGCAGTGCATGGTTTTGAAGTGAACGGGCAACGGTAAGGCACAGCATGCTTGACAGTTATGACATCCCGCGAGATTTTGGCCTGCTGGTGGGTCTAAATCTATCACCTTTCATCTCAAAGCGTCCTTTTCGACACCACTATGTTTGGGAACCGTTATGCACGCATCCTAAAGCAAACTTCGGCGAAACCAAAGCGCACATGCACCGGATGTGTCACCTGTATCGCAGCACTGTCTGCCTCCGAGAAGTTGTGCCAACTTCCCTCATCGTCCTGCCACTGCCATACAACGCTGTCCTGTGAAGAACATCGCAGCCATATCAGGGACATTCTTGGACACGCGTGCGAAACGCGTAATGCACTTTGCAGATACAGAAAAGTTCTCTCAGCTGCAGTGTTTCGGAAGGCTTAAGAGATAGTGGAAATTACGAAGGTACATGATACCGGCCGCATACCAAAGGCCTACAGAGCCCAGCTGAGGGTGGGTAGCGTGTCGCATCGGCCTGTTCTCGGCAGACGTGCCCACCTGTTCTCAGCAGACGTACCCGCAGGTTTGCAACGGCCTAACCGGACTGTTCTCAGTGGCCTCACCCGCCTATTCTCAATGGGCTTAACCGCCCGATCTTAACAACCGTATCTGCCTGTTCTCAACAACCATACCTGCCTGGTCTAGACGGTCTTGTCCGCCTGTTCTCAGAGGCCGTAGTGGCCTGTTCTCAGCGGCCTAACCCGCTTGTCCTCCGCGGCCTTACCTACCTGTCCTCAGCGGCCTTACCCGCCTGTTCTCAGCAGCCGAACCCGCCTGTTCTCAGCAGCCGTACCCGCCCTGGTCTTATCAGCCGAACCCGCCCTGGTCTCAGCGGTCGTACCCGCCCTGGTCTCAGCGGCCGTACCCGCCTGTTTTCAATAGCCGTACCGACCCTGTTCTCAGCGGCCGTACCCGGCCTGGTCTCAGCAGCCGTACCCGCTTGTCCTCAGCTGCCGCATCCGCCTGTTCTCAGCAGCCGTACCGGCCCTGTTCTCAGCGGCCGTGCCCGCCTGTTCTCAGTGGCCGTACCCGGTCGTGAGAGCTGGTCGGTCGCGGCGGAACCCTGCTGAGCCACTGATCGACGTCGAACAGTCCAGCCGCCGGCAGCGCCGGCAGCATCTCAGCCAGCAGGCAGACCAGCGCGTACACCTCCTCCGAGTTCCGCGACTGCTGCGCCATCTGTGAGGCGCACCGCCGCGGCGGAGGCGGTCAGTCAGGCCTCCCGGCTAGGAGCCGGCGTACCCACCAGACAGCACACCATACATGGTCACGATCCCGACCATGACGTCACTGATGCTAGCACGATCCCCGCAGACAGATGGTAGCAAAAACCACACGGTTTCATACAGCGGAAGAGAGGCTAGTAAGGGTATGAGTTTGCCACTTTGGTGGTTACATATGACAATACACATTTGAGGCCAACCAGGCACACACCGTTTCCGTGTCTTCCATTGGCAGGGCATACACCTGTTCCGTTTCTCCCGTCACCAGCTTGCTCATCTGACTCGTAGTTACCGTCACCCTGGTACATACCTGTTGCTTATCTCCCTTCAGTCTGAGAGCCTGCTACACACTTGTTCCTTAATCCAATCAGCAGGATGCACGCCACTTCTGTGTCTCTCGTTAACAAGTACAGCCCTGTTCTGTACCTGCCGCCAGCCGGGTACACACCTGCTCCGTGTCTCCGGATAGGAGCGTACGCAGCGTCTCGGCCATGTTCTCGGAGAGCAGGCGGACGGCGATGTCCGGGCAGTGGCTGCAGAGCATGCGCAGCATGCGCGCCACCTCGCAGAAGGTGGAGCTGCCGATCACGGCCGGGGACGCCACCAGCTGCCGAACGCGTCACGGTCATCATCACCATCATCACGACCAGCACGGTCACGGTCATCATCACCAGCATCGCGACCAGCATGGTCACGGTA